ATATATGGAGCATCATGCTTTCTGTTAATTAATTTACTTAAGTGGCTCTTATGAGCAAAATTTTGAAGCAGGTAATAGCTCTTTTTTTAAGGTCAAACCTCAAGGAATCAGGAACAAATAATAGAAATGCTGGAGAAATTTTTTCAGAAGAGCAACATGGTTAGAACAAAGTTCTTTTGAAAGATGAGATTACTTTTTTTTTTCTCCCTGTGATTGCTTATTATTTGTTGTTATGAGATGTTTTTATGTCCATTGAGTTGGATATTGATGATTAAAAAAATGATGGAGGCATCTTGATTTTAGGCGATTGTAAATTTGACTTTAGTAATGGTATTTGGCACTTTATATTTGCCAGAGCAATAGAGGTGACTGTTTGCCATATTTTTTTGTCTCATTTGCTTCTCCAGCATTGTTCATACTGAGTCGTGTTCTGTTTCTTCCCTCTTTTTGAATAAATTTAACTTGCCTTTTGCAGAAGGGGACATTGATTATGTGAAGGTGCTAAATCGAGTCCTTCCTAATGATATTCGAATTCTGGGCTGGTGTCCTGTTCCTGTTGATTTCCATGCAAGGTTTGTCTGCTTCATTTGTAACTTTGCTTTTTCACCTGATGATCAAGTCATATGGGGAATTGGTGACAGCAAGAGCAGTACAAGAGCTGGGAATTACTATTTTTGTTATGGCATATTGGAAGATTCCCAACCCTACTTCATAATTAATTTTATTTGAAACTCCATTAAGTTGCACTCCTTTTGTTTAGTGGTTGTGGACAAAAGTTATTCCACATTGGTCAAGGGTTTCAAACTTTGTAATTCCCTCGACATTATAATTAATGAATGAAATGGCCTATTTGAAATTCTTGAATTTGAATGGGCCAGACAAATGTGTAATGGTATATGAAGTCCAACAAATAATCTTCCTTTACATGCAAGTAGTATATAAAACAGAATAGAAATACAGAGAAAGATATTATAGACTAGAATTAGTGCTTGTAATAGAATCGCTCAAAGAAAAGGCAAAGGCGTTATGTTAAATTCCTGCTAGAGAGGCTGACTTGGGCGACAATTTCAATTGCCCCAAGAGCTTACTTAAGTTGACAAGAAGTTGGTTTCATATAGGAAGCTATTACAATTTAATCATATAATTGCAATTTAAACTGAATTTTGAGGTAGAATGGTTTGGATGTTTCTTGAATTGTATTGTATTTTCCGACCTTCAGATTGCCAGGATTAAACTGAAATTATTTTTACCTGTTACTTGGAAATGTTGACCTCTTAATTTGCAATCACTTATCACTTTCTTTGTTCACTTTAATCAGGTTCAGCTGTTTAAGCAGGGAGTATGAATATTTTTTCTGGAGAGAAAACTTGAATATTCAGGCAGGAAAACCATTTTCCTTTTGTGATTTTTTTAAAATTTTTTGAACTCCTTTGCCTGTCTGTGATTATACCCTAGACTCAAAAGGCTTATTACTAATGAGCGGTACATACTTTTCTTTGTATAATGTCACTTCAGGCTATGGAGAGTGCTGCCAAGAAGTTCTTAGGAGAACATGATTATAGGAACTTCTGTAAAATGGATGCAGCAAATGTACACAACTATAGGCGGCATATCAACTTGTTTGAGATGTCTCCTACTAATGTGAGGTTAAAATTGGTAGACAATTTTTCTGATCTTTTGTGTGTTTCTGCACGTGTGTGCATGCTCATGTTGTGCTAAATTACCATCGAAAATGCACATTACTAGTTTGCACTAAGTTTTAGCCTTCATATTTGTACCAAACCCTCAGAAATTTTAACGAGGGGGCTAATTACATTTTACATGATATATAGCTCAAATGGGGAACACTCAATACCTGTGTCATATCAGAATTCAGAGTTATGGTGGCTTTATATAGTTAAAAACTTAATAAATGTATTATCCTTACTAGAACTAGCAATTTGTCAGTTGGAGTTGTCGTGGACATTACAGTCTGAGCAATTTTTTTTCCCCCAAATCTACCTTCAGGTATGATGATAATCAACTCTGGGTGATTAAAATCAAAGGCACAGCTTTTCTATGGCATCAGGTTCGCTGCATGGTTGCCATTCTATTCATGGTTGGCAAAGGTCTTGAATCTCCAGATGTGCGTACCTAACATGCTCATGTATAAATTTATATTCTATATAGACGTCTCCTTGTTGATTATTTATACTTTGTGAAATTACAATAGAACAAATCTTGTTCAGGCTGCACCTTGACATGTTCTCCAAGTTTAACTGTGAAGGCAAAGAAGTAACAAATCTGGTTAAACATTATATAAGTGGAATAATAAGAGTTCTGTGGGCTAAATAAAGGCAACACTTACTAAATGGAAGTGTTCTGTCTCTTCTGCCATATAAAAATGTGTCTTAGTTGTTACTGTGGTAATACTTTATTGCTTTATATTAATAGATGTCTGCATTTAAGTTTTTGGTACTTGTCTTAAATGGCTGTGACCACTTGTCAACCTCTGCAATGATGCACTGTTCTGATTTCAAAATGTCAAATCAAATAAATTCAATTTATGGACGAAAAACAGGTATGCTACTCAGAAGAATTCTTGTAGCCACCTGAAAAGCCATAAATCGAGGAATTCCACAATTGAGAGGGAGAATTCGTGTAACAGTGAAATTGAGCAAGAGTTGTGTAGGTGAAACCTGGGAGACTTGGATTATCTCCATATCAAGAATAGAAATATATTTGTAGAGAGGATACAGATTTCATGTAGGTGAAACATGCGTAGAAGGGGAGAAGAGAGATGATGCTACCTGATTTTGAATGAGCGACCAGAATAAGGACGTACTGATGATAAAAAAGGACATCAATGCTATTCTAGATTTGTGAAAATTTGGAAAGAGAAAGAGCAATGAGGTGATGTGGAAGCAGAAAAGGTTCTTTATTTCTTGGAAGAAACATCTTTATAAATGATTCGAGCTGTAGCTGGCCAAATATGATTTGACTTGAAAAAATAGGACAAAATACCATATGGCAGGGCCAATGGCAATTGTTATATATATACATATACATATATACACACACACATATATATATATATATTCAGGTTATCTATGTGAGGATGAAAGGAAACCTTCAAAATTGAAAGTATTTCCATATTGTTCTTCTCCATCTCCATGTCTGTTATAAGCCTCTGCAGTTTGCGCTAATGACTCTAAATTCTTTGATGCTTAAATTTGTAGGTGATTGATATTTTACTGGACACTAACAGGACTCCAAGGAAACCCCAGTATATCATGGCAGCAGAGATTCCATTGGTTCTTCAGTCTTGTGAATTTGCAGATATTAGGTTTATGTGTTCTTCAGGTATATCTCTAATGTATAACGTTAAAGATGGTTCTTATTCAAGCGTCGTTAACTCAGAACTGCTGAATAATACTCAAATTAACTGTATATATATCCAGATGCTGGAGAAGCCTTGCGTTTACACTTTGTGAATGAATGCCAAACTTTCCAGCTCCAGGCTGCAATCTTCCACGAAGCTATTCTTAATTTCATGCCTCCATCAAATGGTACTGCTGCAAATCTTGATTATGGATTCCACTTCAATTTTATGCCTATTTTGGTTAAAGTTGTTTATTATGATTGATGATGCCAGTTCTTTTTCCAGATCAAAGCTTGCAGCGTTATGAAGGAACCAAGAAGAAAGCTTCCCATGTCCCTCTTATGTCACGACCAACTGAGCGTGAGTTCTGTCACCCACAATTTTAGAGATGACTATAGAGCGAGACAGGACTAATTGTTTCAAAACCATCTTAGCCCCTCCCCCCTCTTTTTTTTATTTGTCTCGTGCATACTCTATAACCTTGCAGGTTTATTTTTGTACTCGCTAGCATTTTATTACTCCATGCCAACCCCATCCTGTCAATAATAATTTGAAAACAAAGTTCTTTACACCTAGGTTTGAGTCTCATTTTGATAATTTTATTATACATTTATATTGTATAGAGATCTGATAATGGTTGGTTGGGATACAGGTCAATATTCTTTTTAAGCTTTGCTCGAAATGACTGTCAGAGTTATCTCAATTTGACTGATTTCTTTCTGTGATTGAATTGGATTCACTGATTCAGCATCATATGAGGAGCGGCGCGCCAAATTCAGCTCAGCATGAAGATTCTACCAATGATAATTTCAATGACTGATCTCTTTCTCTGATTGAATTGGATTTCACTGATTCAGCATCATATGAGGAGCGGCGCGCCAAATTCAGCTCAGCATGAAGATTCTACCTATGATAATTTCAATTTAAGAGGCCTTCTATATCTTGTTTTCCATGAATTGCACGAAAAGAAGTTCATTTATTTCTTACTTTCTAGATTTTGCTTTTGAATGTAGTGAGGCGTTGTTGGTGCAATTTTTTTTAATTAAGAGGGTTTTAATTCTTTGCTGAAAAAAAGAGGGTTTAAATTCTCACTATTATTCATTACAGCCCAGATCTTTATCACCTGGATAATCTTAGGTGCCTTTGGGGTGCAATTTTTAAGTGTTTGCTATGTTAGGTTCTCTGGAGACAACATTGGAGATCAATATTTGAAGCCAAAAATAACATAAGCTTGTTCAAAAGATTTGTATTCAGCTGTTCTTATTTGAAAACTGAATATCAAACACTCGAAGAATTTCACTGCTTTAACTCAGATGAACAATCTGTTGTCAAACCATCCCCCACCCTTTTTTTTTTAAAAAAAATAATTTGATCATTAGTAAATTTTTCGATTGAGAGATATGTGATGTGAACCATTTAAATTTTAAGTTCCGAATTAAGAATTTAATTTTAAAATTGTTTGCAAGAGGCAGTGCTGTCTACCCTTACATGTGAACTGAGGTTTTTTCTTAGCTATTGATACCAGAATGATGACTCAAAAGTGTGGTACAGCTCCAGAATAACTTAAAACGGATACAACACGGTATAAATGAATAGACTTAAAACGCATCAAGACTCAGCCTTGCGATATTACAGAGGGTGACAAATTGATACTCTGTTAGCAACTCTCACGTTCATAAATTAAATACACCAAAGCCACCCTGATGATGAGAGGCTCTATCCATATCATTTACGCTACCGCATTAGAATGGAATTGCAAAGCTTACATGACCAAATGAACTTAACAAGAGTGATGAAGCGACCAAACGACTTGGGATTATATTTCCACAGCGAGGCCTAGCGTTTGTGATCAACAAACGTAACTCATGAATGAACCAGGCTCTGATAAAATAGAACCCATCAGAAGTGAGAGTATGAGCGATTACACACAAGACTAACTTTTTTACAGTCTAACTAGTCCTTTGCTGCCCTTGCCTCAAACCCCCCTCCAGGCCGCTTTACAAGGCTGTATGGCATGAATGTCCCAAGAAGTTTATCCCATATGGGAAAAAATGGTTGAGAATAATTATATTTCAACCCTTGTAGTTGATGATGTATGTCGTGATAAGCTGTGTTGTTCTCAAAGAACAAGTGGAAGATATTGCCAGGCAACCAGAGTCCACAGTGATCGTCAACAGTCTTGATGACCGAGAAGCAGAAGAATGCAACGGCTGTTCTCGCAGTCATCCCCGAGACAAGATATGAGATTGCCCCGCCAAAAGTGTCAAGAAGAAGACCCTCAAGAGGATGATTATAAAGGGCTCCTATTGCATAAGGGACAACCAGTCTGTGATGTTGGGAGTGAACATGGCGGTATAAAAATTTGTTTTGATGCATGTATCGGTGCACAAAGTACTGCCATGTATCCATGACAAACATCGCTATAATGATCTGCGCAACTTGAAAGGGAATGGAGGGCTGCACTATAACCCCAGATTCGTTTGCCTTTGAGGTCAACTGCAGAATGTTAGGAAGCATATTAGCCATCCAACAACAGCCAGAGCAGAGAACAGAATGTTCTTAGCATCATGAACTTTGAAAGAAAATTATTATTGGGGCACATGCTGCAGATTAGGCACCCAACAATATTAGGGATCCCTACGTGTATGCCATACAGGGAGGAAAGACAGAGATACAAAATTGAGTACACAAGCTGAGAAAAACGCAATTTTATTTGCGAACTAGCAAACGTTTGTATGTATGTGAAGCAGGACAAATTGAAGAGTTCAACATAGTTGTATATTGGTTTCCATGCAATTTCACAAATAAGACATGTATTTTCAGGTTTTTATTTACTTATTCTGTAGATTATTTGATAATATTGGAATGTGATGGGACCTTCAGAGAATACTTATATCAACGACAGAATAGAGCCAAACAAGTCTACCAACAGAACTACATGACCATAAATAAACCACCTCAAGGAACAGTAGGAAATTTTGAAAAATGCTCAAGCCTTTGAGAGGCTTTCTTTTCTTTTCTCCCTAATTTCATCTGTTATCCATGCAATTTCACAAATAAGATATGTATTTTCAGGTTTTTATTCACTTATTCCGTAGATTATTTGATAAAATTGGAATCTGATGGGACCTTTAGAGAATACTTGCATCAATGACAGAGTAGAGCCAAACAAGTCTACCAACAGAACTGCATAACTATAAAATAAACCACCTCAAGGAGAAGTAGGAAATTTTGAAACATGCTCAAGCCTTTGAGAGGCTTTCTTTTCTTTCCTCCCTACTTTCATCTATTATCCCCCCAACCCAAAAAGAAGGAAAAAACCTCAACATGCCTCCATCCCCCCCCCCCCAAAAAACTGGGAAAACAAAATGATTCAAACCCGTTAACAAGAACCACTTCAGCATGTGGATCCATAAAGAATGGGGAAAGGAATACTTAATGCTTAATGAATCATCATTTTCTCTAACGCATGCATGCATGTTATATATGTAGACATGAATAACGCTTGTCTCTACCACATTATCATTTTCAGCAAAGTTTTCCCACTGAATTCAGTTAATTTATAATCCATATACATATTTCATTTTGAGTAGTTCTTCCATGGCAAGTTGTATGCCTGAAGACCCTGATATCCAATTATAATCAGTTTGAACCAGGTATACATGAGTCATTTAAGCTCAACTTCTTGTCTTTTTATAATCCACAGGCTCTCTGTTGATTTTCTTGTATCAGGAATTCAAGGCATTTTGACAATGAGTTCTGTCAACAGTGCTCAAAATACTTTAAGCAGTACATTTGTTTTATCTAATATATAACTTTAGCTTTCCATTATTGAAGTCATTCATTTTACTGGGAGAATAAGAAATGTGGAAAGAAATAAAAAACTTGGGCAATGTTTGATAGGTAGAAAAATACTTTCTAGAAAGCAAATGAGAAATGTAACTATTCCATTTTATTTGTAGGTACATATCCCATTTCCTTTCTAGCAAACATTTTTTCATATACCAAACATTGCCTTAATGTAGACAAGAGTCTAAACAAGAACCAGTGCCAAGCTAAAATTCTTAATGAAATTAAATTAAATTTTCATAAAACATGCTATTACCTACAAATTTGAACAAGTCTTTGTAGAATGACTAACCAAGAAAAGTGCAACCGTCGCCTGGACAAGCTGCTGAAGCAAAACACCCTTCACCACGTCTGAGAGTGGCACCAAATTCTTCTCTTTCTCTTCTCTTCTAGTATGCAACCGATATTTGTCAAGAGGTGGTAGCAACTGATAAAATCCACCATATATCCAATAAAGCACAATAGGTGCAAAGGTGCCCATCACTTCATCGCTCACATATCCTTCCCAGAAAACCATTATCAGTCCAACTTGCAAGTGAAACTAATTAATCTGAAGTAGAAAGACTCAGCCAAGAAACAAGTTCTAAAGTCAAAGCTTCATTGCAGCTGAAGATCTAAAACTAGAGGAGCTCACTTCACTCACAACCTGCAATAGAAAATGACATTTTAGATGAGTAACAATATGTTTCTTGCAGTGAGAAAACGAGAAAATAATTAAAAAAGAACTAAGTTTTCTGCCATAATGTTTGAATGATTAATTAAAAATAACATTAGTAAGGAAAAAATATACTTCTTCTTCCTACGTACACGGCTGTTCTTAAATTTTAGAAATAGACAGTTCAAATCCTAAAGATTTAAGCGAATCCTAGCAAGTTTGCTTTGTTTTTGTTGTGTTTGCAGTAAAATAAATACACATTAAATGCTCAGATCCCCAATAACTACATGTTCCGGAGAATTAAAAATAAGTATCGCGATAAAAATTCCATCGGGCCCCATTGACTGAATAACAGCTACTACTTACCAGGATAACTAGTTGCGGCCAGAAAAGCGCATTGGGATTCAGATCTAGGCCTTGCTTGTAGAGTGAAATAGCGAGTGTCTGTTCCGAGACTCCAAAATCTTCAAACTTTAGTGTTTGTTCCGTTGGTCGTACTTTAGAAATAGACAGTTCAAATCTTAAAGATTTAAGCGACTCCTAGCAAGTTTCCTTTGTTTTTGTTGTGTTTGCAGTAAAATAAATACACATTAAATGCTCAGATCCCCAATAACTACATGTTCGGGAGAATAAAAATAAGTATGACAATACAAATTCCATCGGGCCCCATTGACTGGATAATAGCTACCACTTACCAGGATAACGAGTAGCGGCCAGAAAAGCGCATTGGGATTCAGATCTAGGCCTTGCTTGTAGAGTGAAATAGCGAGTGTCTGTTCCGAGACTCCAAAATCTTCAGACTTTGGTGTTTGTTCCGTTGGTCGTATTGAAAAGTTTGATGTCTCCGTCCGGCCAGCTTAATCGAAAGGAAGAGACCCAAAAGCGTTTGGAAGAATAGAAAATGATAGGGGGCAGCAATGGTATGATATGAGCATGTATTTGCTCGTTGTCTTATAATCATCCATGACTTTTTCCGCCCCCAGCTTGCCTTTTCGGTGGCCGCAGCCAACGGAACTGCTTATTGCGTAAATATTTGGCTGTTTGAAAAAACAAAAACAAAAAACAAAGAAAGTGTATGTATTTTTTCCCCCTAGCATAAGTCGGGCACACACTTTGATTTTACTATGAAATTAAGAAAAGCAAGTTGACAAGATCGCGAGATCATTTTACACTCCTTCTATTTTAAATTATAAAATATTTTAATAAAAATAAAATTTTATTAATAATATTTTTTTAATATAATTTTTTTATATATTCTCTCTTTTTAATATTCTTTTATCAATGATGTATTAAATGAAGAGTATTTTTAAATGTTTACATTTTTATCTTGAAAAAATAAAATTGTAAAGTATATTTAATGAACTTTATTAATATGTGAAATTTTGTTTATAAATATCTTATAATTTAAAATGAAAAAAGTACTTTGTTCAGATGGAAAAAAGTTTTCTCCTCTAATTTTTTTCTTATTTTTTTTATAATATAAGAGATAAACTCTCTTGTTAATAGAAATTTTTTTCAAAGACATAGAAGGCAAAAAATAAATCTTTACCAGCTAAAGGTACAGGGTTTCCATTCTAGTTGACTTCATTTTTTATTTCCTATTCATTTCATTATTTCATATCTTACCAAAACAGGAGAGTTAACATTGGGTTTGATTGGTGAAGTAGTTAAACATTGGGACATCATATAATTTAATTATTTCTCCATTCCTTTTTATTATTTCTTTCATTCAATCTGGAGTCATACAACTATTTCATTCACACCCGTGTAATGCATAAGGATCATGATAGTTAGATATATAAGGATTGAAATTTAAATTCCCAATCACTTGCCTAAATGATGGAACTCTTATCATTTATGCAAATTTTATTTGATTCTCTTATTTTTTTTCCTCTCTCTAAACACACGTTTAGAAAGAAGAAATGGAGAAAAATTCTTCTTATTGATTTGATGCATGCTTTTTAATAAATCTTAAATCCTTAAAATCTAATGCAATAGTTACAATGGCTTAAATGACGACGACGACGATTGTTGCCATTGTTGTTGTACAATATACAACATTTGAAAATTTAACGTCACAAAAAAAAAGAAGTTACATGCATTAATTACAAAAAAAAATTAATAAATTATTTGTTTTGAAGGTTGTAGAGCATAGAACTCCAAATTATAACTCTTGACAATAAAAAAAAATAACTCTTAGAAGATTATGAATTTAATGATTTTTTATTTGGTGTAAATATTATATTTTTGAATGTCCATTACCCCAAATTATATGTTAATATACACTATATCATCTTAATGGTGTGTGTGTATTATTTTTATTGTATCTTTTAAAATTTCATTAATTTTGCAACATATGCTACATATAAGAGAATAGACAATATAATTTTGGAATTTTATATTTAATGTCACTTTAATAATTCATAAATAATGAATAACAAATAATTTAATTTTATACCGTTGGGTTGGCGAAAAAATTTTTCAATTTTATAAACTATATTGATATTGATGGTAACAAATCCAAATTTTCTAGTTGACATGAACTCCATAAATCAGTTGATATGAATATGCAACCAACCCTACCAAAGCAATCTCTCTCTCTCTCTCTCTCTGTGTGTGCATGTGAAGCAACGGTTAACACGATCCCCACCAATGAAATTCATTTGCAAACTCTAAAAAGCTTTTGTCACACACATTCATTGCGTTTTTAACTCTTACAAAACTTGCACTCTTCCAACTCAAGATGAATCATCTGTATTTGGACACAAATGGAAAGAAGACCACCCCCGACACTTGAAATTATTAAACAACCTTTGACGTCCCTCTCATGATTCGACTGGTAAAAGGACTGAGAAGTGCACCGTCAACGTTAGCAAACGGTGGCGTACAGTGAAGCCGGCCATTGATCCAAAACCTGTCATTATGATGACCAGACGGCTTTTTGACGGAGAGGCACGTCATCGTTGGCTGTGCTGGTTCTTCCTCCCATTCTGCTTCTTCTTCTCGATTCTCCGCTGCTTTTCCCCGAAGGTATTGAAGATGCCTTTTGATTTGCTTATCGGGTCTTTCTGTCTTTAACCATCAATTTCTTGTAATTTTCGAATCACTTCTTCTGCCGAAAGTTATAGAATTTTCGTGCTTTGGTGGATTTCATGGTATGGATTGAGTGCTTCCCACCTGATTTCGGAGGATTTATGGGGATCTTTGGGTTTGGGCTGCGCATAGTCTTCCTCTAGTGATTCCGAGATCTCTTCCTCTCCCACAGTGGGTAGGGATTAAAGAGGCTCTATGCCTTGTGTATGTCTGTTCATCTTTGTTCACTGTGTCCTTCCACCTTCCGTGTAATTTTTGACAGTATTTAATTTAATTTCTTTTTAGGTAGAAACAGAGTTCATGTCTTGACTCTTGTAGTTTCGGGTTTTTTCGTCTCTGTTGGACTTGCTGATCTGTTTTATGAGCTTGTGACCATTTTCTTCTAGGGTTTTGATGGAGATGTCCAATGGGGATTAATATGGCGAAGGTGTTTTCTTGAATTGTTTCTGCGTTGCCAACATTGAATCAATCAGCAACAATTCTCATCAACGAGATGAGTTGAGTTGGGAGATTCTCCCCGCTCATCATTGTCAATGGAGAATCATCACCCATCTACGCTCTTAACCATGGATTCAAGTGCATCTTCCCACGAGGAACTGGATTTGGAGATGAATGGTCAAATTATACTTTCCCGTCCACCGGATATAAATTTGCCCCTGTCTGCAGAACGCAGCCCGCCTCCGCAGTCATGGAATTCTGACCCGTGTGATATGTTAGATGTTAGTCTTGGTACTCAAGGATATGAGACTGAGAGTTTCCTCACCCCCCTTCCCAAAGGTGGAAAGAAGTGTACGAAGCGAGTTGATAGTATATGGGGAGCATGGTTTTTCTTCAGCTTCTATTTTAAGCCTGCATTGAATGAAAAATCCAAGGCTAAGATAATCAGGGACAGCAATGGCGTTTCTGGGTTTGATAAATCTGATCTTAAGCTTGATGTTTTCATGGTTCAACATGATATGGAAAATATGTACATGTGGGTTTTCCAGGAGAGGCCGGAAAATGCATTGGGTAAGATGCAGCTGAGGAGTTATATGAATGGTCATTCTCGCCAAGGGGAGCGCCCGTTTCCATTTAGTGTTGACAGAGGCTTCGTTCGATCTCACAGGATGCAACGAAAGCATTACAGAGGCCTATCAAACCCCCAATGTTTGCATGGCATTGAGGTTGTTCCTTCACCCAATCTTTCAGGCCTTGATGAGGAAGAGAAGAAAAGGTGGGTGGAAATCACTGGCAGGGATCTCAATTTCACGATCCCACCTGAAGCAAGTGATTTCAGTTCATGGAGAAATCTCCCCAACACAGACTTTGAGCTTGAGAGACCACCTCCCCCAATCAAGAGTGCTTCGAATGCACCTGCAAAGAAACTACTCAATGGATCCGGGCTGAATTTGTCAACTCATCCTTCCAACCACTGTAATGGTGATGCGATGGACCTATCTCCGGTCAATGGCAAGAGGAAGAAAGACTTATTTCCTCATGGGAATGAGGATGATTGTTATTTGGCTGTTAACCCCTCACCCGATCAGATTTCAGATATAGAAATGCATACAAGTGAGCCACACTGGCTTTCTGACTTTACAGGGGTAATGAAGAGTGTCTATGGTCCTGTGACAGCTGCAAAAACTATTTACGAGGATGAACAAGGATACTTGATCGTTATCAGTCTTCCCTTTGTGGATCTTCCGAGTGTGAAAGTTTCATGGAGGAATACTCTGACCCATGGTATCATCAAGGTTTCTTGTGTGAGCATATCTGGGAAGCCATTTATCAAAAGACATGATAGAACATTCAAGCTTACTGATCCATCCTCTGAACACTGCCCTCCTGGTGAGTTTGTCCGAGAGATTCCTCTTTCGACTCGAATTCCTGAAGATGCCAATATAGAAGCATACTTCGATGGGTCAGGATCAGTTCTTGAGATCATGGTGCCAAAACTTCGTGTGGGACCGGAAGAGCATGAAGTTCGGGTCTGCCTTCGCCCTCATCTGGGAGGAAATGATCTTATGTTAACTTAAGATGTGCCCTTACCAAAAACTTGTTAAGGTTGCCAAACTTGGTTTGGTTGGTATGTCATTGTTTTACTTTTACTAACTGTTTACCATACAGTCATAGTGTAGTGCAATTGTGCATGTCAGCGATTAGCCCTCTCTCTACTCTATTGGCATTTGATTGTAATAGTGCTTAAATCTTTGAAAATCGAATGATGATCATTGATTTATACAAAGGAAGTGTTATCACACGTTGTTTTTAGTGGTATGCTTTGGATCTTATGGGCATATATGTTTCTTTGAAACGGTAAATATAAGAAAGATTAAGGGCTTCTTTGACAATTTGTTCTAGAAATAGTTTTTTATTTTTCAAAACACAAAAAAAAAAATCTGTATGATAACATTTTTTAGAAAATGTTTTGAACAAAAACAAAACCAAATATTTTCTTAAAAAATAGAAAAACAAAAATATCTTTTAAATATTTTAAGATTATTGTTATGAAAAATCGAGAAGAATGCAAAAAACTCATGTTTTGTTCTCTCAACATATTTTAAAAAATTTCAATTCTCAAAAAAATTATAAAAAAAAGTTTCAAACAGACTCCAGTCATTTTTACAGTATTGTTTCTGTTTTTCTCCTGTTTTTGCCAGAATTTCCGTTTTTCTTCAAAGATAACTTGCTGCAATATTGCATAATTTTGATTTTAATTGTAAATTAATAATTTATAGATTGTGAATGATGTGTAATGTTACTATTTTTGGGTTTACGGTGAGGAAGCACTGATTAACGATAACTTGTACACCAAATGATGATAATGGTGATGATTATTTGGATACAGGGTTTGGTTAAGAATCGTCAGAAGTTTGATACTATTGGCTCCGGGTACGTTGCTCCGTATGAATATGCGTCGTTTGTGTCTGTGTGGTGTAGTGTGGTGTGGTTGGTTCACAATGTGATGACCGGTACGGTCCACTATGTCTCTGTGTTCAAGAATTGATGGTGTAATTTTCATCGTGGGATTGGTTTTAGTTCTTACTTAGGTTTTTAGTGCCTTTGTTAGACGTTATTATTCAGCTGGTTTTGTATGTTTGTGTATTTGTTCTTTTCAAATATGGAGCAAAGAAGAAAATAAATGAAAGTTAACTCATTATCCAACTTTTGACTTATTTCTGATCAAGTCTAATAGTTTGTCTGATCTAAAATATAAGTCCAGCCTACCTAGCTGCCTTGAGACCAAGGAAAAAAAGTTAAATGAAAGTTAACTAATAAATTTTAATCAAAAAAAATTAACTCAATAAATTTGTTAAAAATTACTCAGCTAAAAGTTAAATGTAAGGCTCATTTAGTAATATTTAAGTCATTGAATTTCCAAATGTTTGATACTATTGGCTCCGGGTACGTTGCTCTGGGTTTTGAAAAATTTCCAATTCCATTTAGCTTAGATGTTAATAAAGGAATGCTAGATCTTCGTGTAAATTAATGGAGAAATCAAGTTAATCATTGAATTAAGCAACGTGAAGGAATTTTGCAGTTATGAGAAAAGATGGAGCATACTTGAAATTAATTGGTTTAGAAAAATTAAATTATTCTCGAATTTAATAGAAGCAGTGGCCAATATTTAAAAAGTTTATCAAAAATCACATCTTGTCTATGAAATTGTAAAAGATAAAAAAGAGATGATTATGCGAGATTAGTATGTCCTCTATGACCAAGTTTTTAAGGAATCTAAATGTCTGTTTGGATAAAGAGAAAACGCGTGTTTTGGATTTAAAATTAATTTTTTCTGTCAATTTATCCAAATAGTAGAAAATGATCAAAAATCGATTATGTATTAAAACGCTTATTTTTCCAGAAGCTCCCTCCATCAGCTTTTTCCCAAAAGATTGTCAAAAATGTTGAAAAAAATTACAAATACAAGCCCAAGAAAAAATTACAAAAAAAATATATAATTTAATAAAAATAAAATCAAACTCTCTTCTTTTCCTTTTTTTTTCTTAATAAAAGTTAAACTTTGTATCTTCAAAAAATTGATATCTGATATTTAAACATTAAATTATATAGTAATTTATATAGTTAAAAATTAATTCTGATTAAATTATCCAAACATATTCAATTATATTAAAATTAATTTTAGAAAAATAGTATCCAAACACATTACGTTATAACATAATCAATTATGATTAAAATCTACCACTTAATCAATTATTTTCATAATCTATTATGTCCAACTGAAATCTAAACGGACCTTAATACTGATTTGCTTTTATGTAATGCGCATTACTCTTATCAATAGACAAGTGTTTTTATAATACCTCTTACAAAATATTTATTTATTACTCTTTTGATTAAAAAATATAAAGTATTTTTTTAAAAGTTAGATGTTTAAAAATATTAGATATTTTAAATTTTTTAAAGTATAATTATTATTTTTTTATAAAAGTGTCTCTATAAATAATGATTTTATATTTATTATAAGATGTTTAATAGGGATGAATAAAAAAATAAAATTAATTTAAAAATAAATAATTATTTTATTAAAAAGTGAGATTTGATTAAAATATTTTATATTTTTAAACTGAGAGAGTAGAAGATATGATTTTGCCAATGAACCCACTACCCATCAATAGTTCCTATAAAATGTTTATCAATAGAGAGGTGTTTTTATGATACCTCATCGTTGCATTTTTTTTCTACCTTTTTTTGCCCCTTATTGTAGTAAAAAAAAAAAAATAGTGCGTTTGGGGTATTTGACTGTAATTTTAAAAATCATGGTCCACAGACGAAATTGGATGTGTTTCTGCCAAGGTACGTAAAACCGGACCGGTCATTAAACCGGTCATGGCACTGGGTCACGGGTTAGTGGTTCAATCAGGGTTGAACCGGGGGTTGAACCGGTGGCAAACCGGTCATGATTAAAATAATACAATTTAAATAAAAAGACATTAATTATAAAAACATTCAACCAAATCCAACCACTCAAAAGTCTAACAATAATAAAATACTATATTTTTGGACTTAGCATGCTCTATCTCTAATTTTTTATTTTTTGACTTTAATTTTACTTTTTTTTGTTATTTTTTTCCGAACTCAGAGCTGTGAAAAATTAAAAATGAAAAAAAAATCAAAAACGACGTCGTTTTGGGGTAAAAGTCTGAAAAAATATTAACCCGGTTAACCCAATCAACCCACCGGGTTATCCGGGTTATACCGGGTTGAACCCGGGTTGACCGGGTTACACCGGTTCATTCCCTCACCGGGTTAAGTGCAAACCCAGACCGGACAGGGGACCGGTTCACCGGTTTCCGGGTTGACCCGGCCGGTCCGGTCCGGTTTTCAATACCATGGTTTCTGCGTCCTTGATTGTCACATCTCCAATTTTTTCCTCATTCACTCTTTCCATATCGGACGAATGCAATCATACGCAGCTGTAACTACATTAAACCTCGTGCGACCCTTAAACCCTGCCGTTGAATCACCTTATTGATCAAAACGTATTGCCCAAGCAAACGTATCTGCTGATCTCACTGTCGCGGAATGATCCCCTCTCTCTCTCTTCGCTCGCTTTTCAACGAAATCTCGTTCTCACTGGCATAAGCCACCCGCCTTCGCACTGTTACTCGTCTGACCACAATACTATGCCCAAATTCAAAGCTCAGTTCCTCTCTCTCTAGAATTGGAGAACTTCGCCTCCCCCTTCCCCTCAAGGGGGTTTCATTCGGAATCCCCGATTTTGCATACTCATCTTTCGATTCTTCGATTGAAGGATTAGAGTTTTGTTTTGAGATTTTTTTCCCTTTTTTTCCTAGCCAAAAAGTCGGATTTTTTTTTTCCCGGGGGGGCTTCCTAGGTTTCTTAGGGAATTTTTCAAGATGGGTTTGGAGTCAGACTCCGAGTGTTTCAGCAAAATGATGGCTTCGATGCCGGGGTTTCGCTTCCACCCTACGGACGAGGAGCTGGTCATGTATTATCTGAAGAGGAAGATGTCTGGGAGGAAACTGAAGCTCGACGTGATCCGGGAGACTGACGTCTACAAGTGGGACCCAGAGGAATTGCCTGGTATCTGCTTCGCTCTCCTGGATTCTTTTTTTCCCCGTTACCCTCTTTTCCCCCCAGCGATTGTGCAAGCGTTGACTTGATTCCCTGAAATGAATCTTGTGTTTTATTCGGTGTTTTGATTCACTGTTTGGTTTGATCGTGTAAAATTTAGATTAGGTGTAATTTTAGATCTTCATACTTGTGTGAACTGGGTTGAGTCAGATACCTGCACTCAGAATGGATTAGAAACTAGAATAGGAAGCGATTTAGGTTATACTGTGAATGTGTTTTGCTGACTTGGTGTTGGCACGTTTCTTTCTGCCCTGGTTAACCCCCCCTTTCCCCTCTCCCTAATTCCCACTGGATTTGCTTGACAAATCCTTATCCTTTGTTAGTTCTTCTTACGTGTCACGTGAGTTTAAATAATTTCATGGTCGATTCCTGGTCCCTTGTTGTGAGGATTTGTATTCACTATTCCGTTTAGGAATTTAGCCATCTGGACAAAGGCTTCCTTGCAAAGACAAATCTAAGTTGTCCAAAAGGATCACATCCTCGGCTTTGAGGGAATTAGGATCGATCCTGAGCACAGAAGTTGTGGTTTTTGCATCTTTTTTTGGCTAAAGTTTGCGGTCGCTCAATGAATGCTTAGAAAATTTAGATAGGCTACGATGCTACTATGTTTCATCTTTCGTATCTGATTCCTCTTGTAACATTTTATTTTAAAATTACTTGCATCTGCTTGTTTTCTCTATTTTTAACTTCCTCTTGTTTAATTTCTTGTAATTTAAAATATTTTGCAGCGCAATCTGGACTAAAAACTGGAGATAGGCAATGGTTTTTTTTCAGTCCTAGAGATAGGAAGTACCCTAACGCTGCAAGGTCAAGTAGAGCAACGAGACATGGGTACTGGAAAGCTACAGGAAAAGATCGTAATGTGACATACACTTCCCGAACTGTTGGAGTTAAAAAGACACTGGTTTTTTATAAAGGTAGAGCACCTAATGGTGAGCGGACTGATTGGGTTATGCATGAATACACCTTGGATGAACAAGAGCTTCAAAGATGCCAAGGCATTAAGGTATCACTTTAAGTGGTCCTTTAGTATTGGTTTATTCCATTAGTAATTTTTTATCAAAAAAATCTGTATTAATAAATTAGCCTTAACACGAGAACAACATTTTATTGCTGATGATGGGCTTTTTTATGTACATGAACAGGACTATTTTGCACTCTACAAGATTTACAAAAAAAGTGGACCTGGCCCTAAAAACGGTGAACAGTATGGTGCACCATTTAATGAAGAAGAGTGGGCAGATGATGATTTTGGAGATTGTAATATAACCTGGGCTGACTTTGAAGTTCCAACACAGCAACGTGATGGTGTTACTTCTGTTGATACTGTCAATGTTAATGGTCCATTGCAGCCGTTGCTTGATGATGAAATTGAGGAGATCATGAAGAAACTTATGGATGATGAGTCTCTCCACGAACAGCAGAATGTGAATGGTCGTCCTGCCTTACCTCCAGTATGTGATGTTTCACAAAAATTATATTCCAGTACTTTTATCACCTGTAATTCTGAACAATGAATCCTTGATAAGGCCTTGTGATGTCATGCAGTCCATATACCTTAATGTGATAAGGCCTTCTGTCATACTTTTATTGTTTGTAAAATACTTTATCTGCTTTGTTTCTTCCCTTTTGTGGTTGGGTGGAGTTATATCTTCGGGCACTGTAAATGCTATTGTCAGCACTTTAGCCTAATGTTCTCATGAATTTTTTTTTTATGTGATTTTTACTTCTATATACTATGTCCTGTTAGGAGTCAAGCGTAGTCTCAACATGAGAAAGCTTTGTTACTTACTGCTGGTCTTTCTCCCGCCTCCCCCCTCATTTCTTACTAATTGTATAAAGCTGATGATTATGTTGTTATCTCATCTTGTCTAATCTGGACTTGATTGTTGAGAAACTGATAGTTTTTTCATTGAATTATGTAGGGGGTTGCTGAGGAAACACAGAATGGCGTGGTTGATCAATTCTATATGGAAGTCATGTTTCCTGAGCCATTGGGAATGTTTCACTCAAGTGGTGTTCAGCAATGTGGCGTGGATCCCAGTTCTGACTTCCCTCAGTCAGCTATTTCTCACCTGCAAACGCCTGAAGCTCCTAAGTTCACTTCTACCCTTAACACTAAAGGGGCAGAAACTGGCTTGTGTGAGGATGACTTCTTGGAATTGGATGATCTCATTGGTCCTGAACATGCATTGCTAAACATCAATAAGCCTGTGGAGAACCTGCAGTTTGAAGATGGATTAAGTGAACTTGATCTGTACCATGATGCGCAGATGTTTCTTCATGACATGGGGCCGATTTCACATCCGTATATGAACACTCTGGATAATGCTATTGTAGATCAAAATTATGAGCTGCTGTCAAATCAAGAAAATGCAAATCAAACTGGTGAACTCATGATGCATGCTCAAAGAAACATCCTGCATCCAGCAGAACACGTCAATGTTTCTACACATCTGCCAACATCAGGTATATTCAGCAGTACAAGATACAGGGTTGGTGGTCTAGCTGTACTGCCAAATAATGATTTTACTGTCTTTGATTTGGATGAAGATGCAAGCATCATATCTCTGTTGTGTCCGAGGACATCACAGTTTATTGCTTTTGGTTGACTTGCCTGCTGATGCACGGCGGGAAAACCTTGCTGGAGTATATAAACTTTGTGCGAGCATTTTCATACTAACATTGTGATTTCTGACCCTGTTTCCACTGGGAAAATGTGATCTGAGCCAGTTTTCGAATGGCTCTTCTGTAGAGAAATGTCATAGGTTTTCTTTCTCTAATATACGCTAGTTTCTGGTCATGTTTAGGTGTACTATATGAGTCTGCCAGATTTCTTACTGAAAGCAATGGGACTGAAGAAAGCACTGTGGGAGGCGTTGCTGCAAGTAAATTATCTTCTTCTCTCTGGAACTTTGTTGAGTCAATACCATCCTCTCCTGCATCAGCATCTGAAAATGCTTTGGTGAATCGGGCCTTTGAGCGATTGTCTAGCTTCAATAAGTTGAAGATTGGTGTGAAGGACACAAACGTTGCTGCAGGTAATGACACCGCAACTCTGAAGGGAGGAGGCAAAAAAGGGGCTATCTTCCTTTTCTTTCCAGTTCTTGTTGCCTTATGTGCTTTCTTATGGGTTTCTTTAGGAACTTTAAGACTATTAGGTGTGCCTAGCTCTTGATAATGTAGATTCAAAGTTTCGCTGCTGCATGCATTTTTTCTAGGAACATCCTGAAATTAAGAATGAATGGATGCTATTTTCCAGCATATTCGGAAAAAAAAAAAAACAAAAGTCTGTGAATATTCTACTTCATGTTGGCTTTTAGGTTAGCCTGAATCAGGTTAAGATTAAAAGAAAGGGACCTGGAAGGAATTTAGCAAGGGCCTGCAGAATTTTTGGACAAATCTCATTAGAGTTGTAAAAAGTGATTACCCTGACAAGCTTTTTGTTTGTTATTCATATATATAAGTATATATTCCTACATCACTCCTTTTTTGGAGATTGATTGTACATAAATGAGGACACATTTGTGAAATTTGACTGTATGGTACAAAGTGTTAATGTAATCTTTTATGTATTGTCAGCCAGGTAGTTTAGCTCTGGAACTAGTACTTATTGGCTATTGCCTCTTAGAATTATATGCAGAAGTTGGTGGAATTATAAACACATTCGACAGCTTGTTTGTGCCCCGCGCCCGTGTAAAACTATCTGATGTTCAATTTTACGATTAGAGCGTTGTCAGTTTAATTTCATCTGCAAGATTTGAATTTCATCCTTGTTCAGAAGGAATTAAGTCGCTTTTGCCGATGCCAATCACATTTAGTTTGACAACTTTTCTTTACAAACGAAATTCTTTATACCAACTGATCACATTTTTTGTTTTGCACAGTTTGAAAAATAAGTTGTAATATTAATAATTTGTAAATTATACGATTTACCTTTAATTTTACATATTCGATATCCAGATTTAAGTTCATTTTTATCTTTTGTTTGAATTGTCTTTACTTCACATTGATTTAAAAGACAATATCGTACATGTATAAATTGTTATTGGGATAAAAGTGTATTTTGGTTCCAGAATTATTCATGAATGAGCTATAGGTAGGTTAAAGGAAATTGTATATTGTAAAATAGTATAGCTCTTTTTTTTTTTTTTAATTTTTTGGGTTTTTGAAGATAATGAATTGGTGCACTTTTTAAACAGCCAACATTATGTCAATTGTTTATGCGGGAAAGAGATTTCTTTTAACCTGACGTTTGATTAGAGGTTGATGGTTACGAAAAGCTGATAATGTATAGATTTTGTAAGATTATGTACTATTGTATAGATTTTGTCAAATTCTCTCAAAGCAAAAATGTACTTTAATTCACTTTAGTTTTCTTAATTTGAATTTGAATATGAAATTTAGATTTATTCACACAAGATGTGAATGTATTTATTTGAGTTTTGATATTTGCATCTACCTTTTTTTTTTTTTTTTTAACTTGAAGTATCAATTCACAAGGCTTGCCTTAATACTTTCTGTAAGTGTCTTCTTTTCTTTTTCTTGTTTTTTTTGACTTTGTAGTTTGTACAGATGACCATCACCTTATTAGGTTTAATCTAACATTTTTTAAATGAATCTTCCCACATATTAAATAAGGAGAATGTTACTGGGAGTCCCGGAGAAGGAAAAAATAACAGTGAGGGTTCAAAACAAATGAACGTTCATTTTTGCACAAGTGAATTGATAAACCTGCAATTGTGTAAAGATTAAAGGCCTGTTTGTTTTCTATTTTTAAAAAAAAAATTTAAAAATTTATTTGGGTAAGTGGTTTTCATTTAATTGTTTTTAAAACTGTTTTCATTTTTTGTTTTTAAAAATAAAAAAATGGAAACAAATTTAAGTTGTTTTCATTTTTATTTTTTTTGACTTTTAAAATACACTACATTTGATTATTAAAAATTAAAGTTATCTTGAACAATTTTTATTATTAATCCTTACCATTAATTGGCTATAATCATCATTATCAATCCATTTTTTAATCCTAAAATTGTTTTTAAATTGACATAACTAACTGAACTTTCATTTCATTTTATTTTAAAAATAGTTTTGAAAATTATATTACAAAACATTTTTTAAAAACAAAAAATGAGAAAAGAGACCAAATAAGTCCTAATTTTCAGTTATTTTTTACTCTCACTGCTATTCTCCCTATAAAATAATATACTTATCTATATTGCCGGTCTTGTAAGGTGGAGCACATTTAATAGCATTGTTTTCAAATAATACATACAATAAAAGTTCCAATATTGTTAGATGTTATATAAAATGAAGGAGCTTTTGCACAAATAACCAATATTATAAGACCAAGTAAAAAAAATAGCCTATCTTTTCTTAAATTTTAAAAATAACCTTTTTAATATTTAGATTATAATTAATTTACAAAATTGCTCTTTTTAATATTTAGGAGATTCAAAAATGCAAGAAATCTCTGAAACGAGAAAAACAAATGTAAGAGAGAAGATGGAACTTGACGTGAGAGAGACGAATGCGAGATAGCAGAGTGTAACACACCAAAAATTTTTTTAAAAATAATTTAACTCAACCATAGTTGGGTTACAGCCACCCAACACATTTTTATATCAATAATTTTAATATAAAATATTTTATAATTGGCTTCAACTCACACACTATAACATTTCAGATAAATTTTTACCTCCCACATGCCATTAGGTTAAATCACATTTGTCCATTCTTATACTCCCAACAAGTAAACTAAATCACATTTGTCCATCCTTATACTCCCAACAAGTAAAATAAGCAATTTATTAAATTTTCAACACAAGCCAGTTATTTGGCCTTATAATCATGCCATTTTAACCAATCCAAAGTAAACCAAATATTAAAATTACAGTCATCCAAATTGTACCAAAAATAGAAACAGTTTGAAAGGCATGATTACATTTATATATTCATATAATTGACAATAAACAAAAAGCCATAATATTGGCAATATAACACATTATAAATCATAAATTAAATACTCAAAAAAGACAGTGGATCTATACCACTAAGCCTCTGGGACTCCTCCACGTGTCACTCGTGGCTCTTCTCCTGAAAATTGTTAACCACATAATGAGACTCAAAAGTCCCAGCAACCAAAGCCAATTTATGATAGTGTATACAAACAGTTAAGTTTGTGCTTACTAAGTGAGAATTAAAAATAATATAATTCCAACAAATATAAGAAATATTACAATATACACAAACAACCATCCTTATATCCCTCCATTAACCTCGAGCCGTAGCCCTCACTCGGTACTAAATTACCCGGCCAAAGGTAGATTAGCCCGAGCCCTTACAAGCCACCTATTGAGCTCCAATAGGGGCGTACCACGTGGCACATAAATACAACAATAATAGCAAGTCTCCCAACACCTCCCACAATAATTAAACAAATTCATAATAATATTGCACAATTATACAATATTACAAAATTCATAATTTTCTCAATAATCACCCAATTAACATGAAGTAACACTAATCACAAATTAAAAGCATGGTTACCTTGTGGCTTTTTCAATAAATTATTCCTTAAAATTTTCTCTCACACAATCTTCACCAGTAATACAATCTACAAATAACATATTATTTATAAATATTAGTTTCAATTTTTGAAACTAATAAAAATTCTAATAATAGAATTAAAAATATAACATAATTCATAATCTCAATCTTAATACAAATCTATAGTTAATACTATTAAGTAAAATTTTTAACTCCTCTTTTAATTATCAATAAACATTAATAATCTAAAAATCAACTTCTAAACTAATTTCTATTATCAAAATTTTCTTTTTATTTCATAAATTCGTACCTAAAATACCCAAAAATTAAAAATTGAGTCTCTAGCTTAGAATCATAATCCTATAGCCATAATAATTCATTTTTCATCCCAAATAATCATCTAAACCTCAATAAATCAACATATATTTTCAGATCTAGTTTAGAATTTGATCTATAAGCCACAAATTCAAAGATCATCAATAAATTTATACTCTAGAACATTTATTATACTACTGACAACCTCAAAAATCATATTTATTCAACATAAATTCATCCCTCTTCCAGATCTTAAATTTTCTACCACTACAAACTCAGAAACCAAAGAAGAAGGATGACTAAGAAAAAATTTTAGAACACTTACTTAGTCTTGAAAAGCTTAAAATCACACCCTAAATATCCTATTAAAAACTCTTACCTTAAAACCTAGCACCGGTGAACTTGGTTCACAGATGCTCTCTCTGCCTCAACTCACGCACGAAAGAAGGAATGAAGAAATGAAGGAACAGGTGAGTTTTTATAAAAATTCAGTGGGTCCCACATTTTTTTTATTATTTCTTCTTTTCTCTCTCTCCCCCTTTTTATATTATTATTATATACAATGATTGTTGTGGGCGGCCGAAAGCAATTTTGTTCTTCTTCTTCTCTTTTTTTTTTGCATACCTTTTCCCTTTTTTTTATTATAATAATAATTTAATAATATTTTTTATTATTTTTAATTAATTTTTTAATTAATTTTTTTTAAATTTTTTTAATTTAGAATTATATCCTAAATTAGATTTAATAATCATTTTTTACTAATTTTCTTACCTCTAAATATTTTTTTTTTAAATTTCTATTAACCCAAATTAACTATTAAAATTTAAATTGGGATGTTACATAGAGCAGTATGAGTAAGCCACAGTTACGACGGTGAGAGACAAACGTGAGGTGAGATACATCAACGGTACTCGACGGAACGGAGCACTTGTGGCAAAACAAAGCTTCAAATTTATAATTTTTTTATTTTATTAATTTTAGTATTTGATTCTCTATGATAAGCTAAGAGTTTAAAATTTTATATGGATTATATTTGATCCATTTTGGGCAAATATTATATATTTTTATATTACTAATTTGCGATACTACATCATTAATATACGACTGTATATCAATTATAAATAAGTTTATATCTGATTGTCTAATTATGTTGATCTATGATAGTATATCAGTGATATACTATTGTATATTATTGATATATAAACTATATCAGAGAAAAATTATCAATTTATTTATCATTGATATACAGCTGTATATCAATATTTAGTGTTGCAAATCAATAATAGAGTTTCTTTTTCAATGTCTAATGTCTTCTTCATAATATCTGAGAAAAACAGAGAGGGAGAGAGAGGAAAAGCTTGTGATGAAGATGATGATTTAGGAAAATTAGATAAAAAAATTTAATGAAAAAAAACCATTGTACAAAAGATGAATATGTTGATTTAGGAAAATCAGATCAAAAAATGTGATGAAAAAAAATATTCAAAAATGATAAATCAAAGAGGGAGCACACACAATACTATTTTTGATGATAAAAATAAAAGATTTAGTCAATTAAAGATTAGTTAAATCAGATATATTCTATTTTAATAATAAATTTATTCTAAAGATAAGAAAAGAAAAAAACATCTAATTAATTTTATGAATGGGCTATATTTTAAAATATTTAAAAATCTCATCCATAATTTATGAAAGTTATATTTTTGAGGCCATTGAGCTAATTTTCTCTAATAAATTCAGCTTTTGTTTTTTAAAAAATAAAGTCATGCGCACATAATTTCTGAATCATGAGAGTGAGTCTAATTTTTG